GTCTCTTTAGTACTTGCATGAGTACGTATTGCGACAATGAACGGTAATTTTAGGCTGAAGCCAAAGCAGTTTTTTGGAATATGATCAGTAAGCCTCCTATGGGAATTGTCAAAGGATAGACGTAATTCAATCTACTATTGAGCTTTTAGTTGCTGTGGAATAAAATTGTGATCATGTTGATGAAATCCGCTTTAGTTGCTAAGAACGGGTCCCAGAATTGCAATGAGTGGAACAGGAGTGTTTACTAACTACAAACAGCGGCAAAGTGATGAATAATTGTGTTGTCACCGTAAAAAAATTTATCATGTAAATTAGGAAGCATCATGAGTGTAAAAGTCGAGAGGTATGAATAATTGCGGGCTCTGACAAAACTGACAGAGGCAATTAGAAAAGCCGCAGTCGATAAAGCACATAATCTGTACTCAGTAAAAAGGCTGCATCTTCATTTTTCATTTGAACAAGAAATTTGCAGTCTGAGGACGTCAATAATGACAAAAAGGAAAAAATTAAATGCAAGTCTTTGTCTTATATACTAAATTAATTTAGATAGCAATAAATGGGGAAACAATGGAGAAAATACGTGAACCGAAAAAGACACAAGACCAGAGAAAAGGGCCAATGGTGGATTTAACCGGTATTTTTGAGCTTTTACATTATTTTTGGCCGCGCGTAATGAAGACAGATGGGACACTGCGAAAAACCAATCAAAGTAGACAACTGGAGCACAGCGTAACCACTAATAATAGGTTTAGCTTTGTTCGGACAGAGTTCCTGAGAACCACTTAAGCACGTAAGTGTAACCAAAGCAAAAGAACTTCGACACTAAGTTTGTAGACTGAAACACAAATCCATCAGGGCCATAAGCTATTTACGATACAGACAAACGAAGACAAAACGAACCAAATTTAGCTTCGGTTGTGCGATTCGACACATTTTCATCTTTTTGCCATTAAAAGACATTTTAAATTATTAGATCTTGTAAATACTTGGAAAGGAACCAAGATTCACTATTTTTTGCTTGCCAAACTGAACAGCCAAGGGAGAGTCACAAACACATGTTCACCTATCCGAGGCTTATCAAATTACAAACGAAAAATAACATGAGCGTTTAGTGAGAATAAATGTGCTGTAATTTTTTCCAGAACAAAAGTAATAACTTTAGAATGGCTGACAAAATGAAAACAAGTTTACTAACCAGCAGATCGATATGAGGAGCAAAGGCCTCGAAATCCGCCTCCGAAACAGACTCGGCATCAGCCATATGAAAATCTTCCTAGGAACAAAGAGAAGTTACGCGATAAAGTATAAGCAAATTGTACCAGCAAAACCATTACTGCAATAGTTTACTTAAAAGGAAAACTACGCCAAGACTAGATGGGTACGAAGCAAGAGAATGGTAATTTAGGCGATAAAGAAAAATAAAGAAGTTGAGATGAAAGTCAACACGATTCGACGGCAACGAAAAAAGAAAACGCTGTCAGGTCGTGATAACCACTTTTGTTTTTAACGGTAGAGACAGGATAACATCGTAGCACTGCAACATTTCCTAAAGTCAACATCGTCAACATAGTACCAGTACGGAAGGCTTTGAAGAAATTACTAGATTACTAGATTGAATCAAAACATGTTAAACAATTTTAATAAAATTGGAATGGGCCAAGCGGCATCTACTTAAAGAGTAGAATATAAATATATTGAGCAGAGAATAAAAACGCTCTGCTGACATTCATGAAATAAGTAAAGTGCAAGAAGGAATACACTTGTAAAAACGTCACCTCGACACCAACAATAAATTTACTGCTTAAAGATTTTGTTCAATTAGATACAAATGACGCAAACCAGGTCGGAATACATGTTACAAAACAAGCTATGGTGTATTATTTCTCCAAAAGCATGAACATAACAGCATTTGAAAACATTTTGTTCGGTTCAGACAAAACACACAACGCAGTACAAAAATGTGAAATTTTGGTTGTTTATATCCCAAGAGACTTACATTCTCAAACATCAGTGGTCGATTCGGGAGGGGATAAGATTTGCTCGGGTTTTCAATAGGTGCAACGCTAATTCGCCAGAACGACCTTATTCATAGATAATTAAAGATTGTCATACTTAATAGCTGAAAGTGTAGATTCAGTCTTTGCATGCGATTCTGCATCACGTTTGGCATTTAGTTCGGGAGAATCGAGAAGGCCATGAGACACATTCTCATCGAAAGTCCAAATAAGACGCTCAAGCGATGCTTCTAATTGCAATCCATTAGAAATTTCAAAAGGGTCAGATAATGAGCGCTTTAGGACACCTTCATATGGCTTATCTAAGTATTCACTCTCTTCAGGGCCCGACAACTCATCAACGTCGAGAATGGCAATTGGGGCATTGGGAAAATCCATTTCCTGAGTGCGCCACTTCAAAGGCCGACTCTTTTGATAAGTATAAACAGCACGTAATAGTGACAGTTTGTAGTCAGATATTTAGCATTGAAAAAAGCTTTAGTAGCTTAACCACATACAGAAGAAAGTATAGTTATGACTTATTGTGATGAAATGCTAGACTGTTGTAGAGCTTAAGCAAATTTTGGAAAAATTTGTTGAATAATGTTAGAACCAAACAAACGATGCACGACGAGCTGTTGAGAGCTGGAATTCAGTGTCCAAAATGGCATTTAATAGTCATTGAATTTTAACGTGAGTTACGTTGACAAACCTTTGAGGATGATGATGTGATTTAAGGTTCCGAAAAACAATTGTAATTCGATCTGCTTAACGTGCTTGTAATCAAAGGTAAAGCTAACTTTATTGCGTCGATCTAAAAGTCCAGTGTCTTACACCTTGCCAAGCTCTGGAACGATAAACGCAAGTTGATTTTTACCATAGGATAAATATTAGACTAACTTGCATCATAATGTAAGGGAATGCACTTAAAACTTTATAACATCTACAATATAACGTGAGCTTAAAACCTACTATATATTAAATATATTTTCTTTTTGGCGTATAGGAAAAAAGCTCACAAGATCCTTTAATTCTACTAGACTATTTCACATAAGTGTTACACATGAAAACGGTTCTTCTCCTGCAATATGACTCACCACACAATCTTGACACAAACAAGCTTAGTAATTTATTGGTGGCATGCGTTTAATTTAGCATAAATAGTTACTCGGAGCTTGGTCAGCCACGAAATCTTTCGAGGCCCATGATATCAGGACTTTTGCAAAAGGAATTCAAAACTGGATCACTCAATTTACTTATATGCAACTTCAACGCAAGCTCTTATTTCATGTTCTATCAAAAAATGTTTTATATTAAATACCAATTCATCGCAAGGTTTTACAGAGCACAGTTAATAAATGTTTTGTAATTTAGAAAAATTACTGGAAACCTGAAAGTTCTTAGTGAGGTTATCATCTCATGTTTTGCCTAAAGGTGCTGGGCTATTAGTCTCGAGTTTCATAATTATGTAAAATTAATATAAAATTTGCACAAACCATTCTGTGAAGCACCCATGTCTTTGTCCTAATTAGGACCCAATTGTATAAAAACTATCACCGCAACTCAGTAACACATCGGTTTTTAGTGTATTAAAATTATATAACAGAAAATCAAGTAATTTAAACTTCTGTGTTTTAACGCATTATAATCAGGTTTTACAAAAACATTTTAATTTTTTTAAACGCCTCAATTTTGGTGTGTGCGTGCTATTCATCACTTCAATTTTGCTACTTCGTAACATTTCTGCTTCCAGCGATGTCAAAGCAGAACTTACCAAGTTATCCTGTACGTTCGATATTCTCCCGCTTTCTAAAACCAGGTTTTGTGTTTTTTTATATACAGTTCTGTAGTTTTAAATCTTCTAAATCGTTATAAAATTTACTAATTTACTATCACTTTTTACTTCTGTTTTTTTTTAAAATTAAAATGCTTTTTATTCTACTCATAGATTTGTTTCTAATTGCGCCCGTTTTGTTTCACTCCACAAATTTTGCTCCATTATTATAAACTGTTGTAATTGTGGTTAGTATGCATCTGGACCTTCAGTACCATAATCTAGCTGTCATGCAGTTTTCCCTTGTGAAATGCTTACCAAGCACAACACCTTTGTGTCGATTCTATTAGGCAATTGATGTTGTCAATGTTTGATGTAGCTACATGTCAGTTTTTCTGCTTAAATCATACACTCAACAACTACTCAGTCATGTTTTGAGCCCAAGTGGTGTCCAGCATTGTCAGTAATTTAGGTTCAGTTTTTTCTGCCGTTTTTTCTTTCACAACTGTATGGGGTATTAGTTCCAAGTATCCTACCGCGATTATTTATAACTTTCGTAATATATTGACAAGTCGTTTGGGTACTGAAATATTTTGGCATCTTTGAAGCAATGAGCTCTTTTTATTTGTCATGCTTTGTGTGGGACACGTCGCTGCCCAAGCCAGTACCTTTTGTTTCGGCTTTATGTAACCAGCCAGTCTGGTGGTTCCTCTTCGTTTCTGCATTGTTGCGTCAGTATCGTTAAGTGGCATTTCTGGTTCTTTAATCTTGTTTTGGATATTGCAATCCTATTTTGTAAAACCAACACTGCCGTGCACTGCATATTCACGTAACTTGTGTTTTCACTGACGGACGAACCAATTTAATGTCCAGAGCAGCCTATTAAAACTCGTATTTATCAAGAATAAGCTCCCAACCACAATGACTAATTTCACGAAAATATTTTTTTAAATGTTCATTTGTATATACATGCTTTGACCACGGATGATTATGAAATTTTCTTCTTTCTGAGATCTTCAGACAGAATGCTTGAGGTTTTTGTCGAAACGCCGTAAAACTCTTCGTTGTGCTTCTCTTTATAAAAAGCGCACTCCGTGTTAGCGGTCGAATTTCGCTGTTTTTTGAATTCCTAGTCGCTAGTTTACTTCCCCCATTTTTTCACCCGTTGCTACCGTTCGTCTGTTGTCGTACTTACATAGACGTTTACCCCTAATTGGGCCAAAATATTTTAGACAACTTCATACCATGTTTATTCATACAGAAAACGTGCCACTCAAACTTCAGTTGACAATACGATCGTATCTCCACAAATCACAAATGCGATGCCTCGAATGGACTGAAAATTTCAGTCTTCTTTTGATCAGACGAAGGAAGCCGCAATTTCCTTAAATGTTGATGTTTCGTTTATTTTACATTGATGTAGAAAGTGCAGAACTCGCCGTGTTCAATAGCTTCAGTTTTAATCCCACAATGTTAATTTCTTGTTGAAAATTCTGCCGGTTCCTGCAACCAACTTTACTAAATAATCTGTCCATATTACATGGTATGAATGGAGATAAATCCTAATGCAATATGTGTACATTTTAGGATAGTCGCTATTCGGTGATTACTCGGCGGGCTTATTCTTCATGTACAGGACAACCAGAACGTAGTTCTGTGGCTTGCCCAACCGCTGGTTCACAGATGTGCGTTCTAAACCCTTCGTTCGCTGTGCCCTCCATAACTTACGTTCGAACACTGTTGTTTTACTTGTTTATTTCCTTTTTGTCACCTCTTTCGGCTTCGGTTTAAATCCATAAATGTAGTATTGTAGTTGATTGATATTGGTTATCTCATGCGTTTAGTTACTCGTGGCAAACTCTCAAATTGCCTAAATTTGGTTTGGTTTCTACTACAGACTAGAATTTAGGCATTATTTTATATAAAAAATGAGGTGTAGCATTGTATGTGTCTTTTGATTTCCAAACGATAAGGTTAAGTAAGCTTTTGTTATACTAAACAGTCTACTTGAGAAGCCCAGAGTGTGGGGGTTAGCCGGAAGCTTTTCTAGGTTTCGTGGTACACCTGTGGCGTGACCAGATAATTCTTACGACCTATCCCTAGGCTGAAAAGTATTTTATTCTCGTTAAGCGGTCCTTTAACTCCAACTTCTAGGGCTCCACCGTCAGCGGCCATTCCCGCAAAAGCAAAGTCAAAAAGTGCTACTGCAACGTATATCTCCAACCTTGTAGAGGTGAGTTTTGGCTTTGTTCGAAGCACAAAGCACTTGATTTTTGATCGTATCTTCTGGAAACTACCTTCTTCCCGCCCACCTTTTAACATCTGTAAGCGTTTTTATTCAAACACAGGAGTTTGCCTTAAGAAGTTTAATATTTGCAATTAGAAACGCGGTTTGATCAATAAGTCGTACAAGACAGTCATAATAGTGGCCTTGTTGCTGTCCCACTTCCATCAAAGTGTCGCTACAGCATATCTAATAGATCAATCCGATTTTAGCATCTAATCTGACTAATGTTTTACCCTCGTCTCTTTGTGTTTGGTTTTTGCAGTTTCTCAGCGACACCGGCTACGAGGGTCAAGTCTCGCTCAAAGCCCTACAAAGCCCGAGTCAAAAATTAGTCTTTTCAATATTTTCACACATTATGACACATTTCCTCCCCAATTTTTTTGTGCCAACGGACAAGGTAGCTTGTGAAGACTACTTTATCAAGTAAGATATTCGCACACACGCGCGCATTTATATGGCAGCATTCGTCCATGGTACCCTCAATTGTTGTAGCAACAAAAGTGGCTGTTTTACGCGCTTTAAAAATGGTTAATTCTTTCCCTATCGCCTTTTCAGCGTTCTACACAAGTACCTAACTATTATCACTGATTCGGCCATTTTAGTCCATGTACATTGCCAGAAGTTTCGGGAAATATTCTATTTTTAATTTCAATGGCTTTAATTGGATGCATCCTTGTTTCCTTCGGAACTATCTCCACATAGAAACCCCATAAAACAGTGTTAAGTACCCTCGTAAATCTCATGGAACCCTTTGATGAGTTCATTTGCGAGGTAGAACAGTCCGGATTTTCTTCAAGGATTTTAATGACCGACCATCTTAGTACTTTTCGGTAGTGTTCGTGCGTACGTTATTTCCATGAATCGTGATCGCTCGCTTTCGAATTAACTTGGTAACTTAATACTGCCACCAAACAAGTGTTGGAATGTAACACACTCCGGAAACTTGACTTTTATCGAGTTCCAAATACAAATGTAAAATGGTTTATGAAACAAATTACTTTGCTTAGCAACTTGAAGAAATTAGAGACCCTTAGAAGCAAGTGCGTCACCAGTGAGTGCTTGTTTGCGAAGATTAATGTCCTTGGCAGACACTCGTCCTAGTGTCGCGTTGTCCTCTTTAGTACACTAAAGTCGTTTGGTTATCCCGTGACGCTGAAACGAAGCACAGTCACAACTCCAGGGGCTCCGCACTCGGCCTCGCAAATTCTGTCCGCCCTCGACTGGCTTCGGAGTGAACTCACGACAGCCCAAGCTGTACGTCTTTGTACCTCATAATTCCTTGTCCTTGCTTAATTGATACCCTAGCTAGGGTTTATAGCATCCTAATTTTGGCGCCAAGGTCGGGTCCACTGGTGAAGTTGAACTTAGTTAAATGGCTATGTGTCATCCAAGCCAGTAACTGTAGTGGCAGTAAAAACAGTCCTAAAAGTGTGCCCACGTTTCAACATCGGAGGGTTTCTAATGTCGGCGTCAACTATTCTACTGTTTGGTGGCACGTAGCAAGGGAAACAGCGACTGAATTGGCGGGAAGGACTTCAGCCTGCATCAACCCGTCTCAATGCCATTTAACTGCTCAGCATGAAATGAATGCTTTCGCAACCAAATTTATACGTACTTACCCGCAGTTTACACAAGAATTTTGGATTGCCCCTTCGCTAACAGCTGGTGTGAAATTCGATTTGAGAGGCTGCCAAGTTTTTTGCTAACCCAATTTGCTTTTGGGCGTTTTATGTCGATTCACCCTTGTCCCAAGAATACACGGGTGAATGATGACGAGTGTAAGTCTTCTACATCTTGTAAAGTTACCCCTAGCCTCATCTAGCATCTGTTAGGTTAGGTGTTTGTCGCTTTTGCAATGTTTAACCACAGGCAGAATTACCCTCTTTTGGTCTCAATTTTAGAAAATGGATGACGTCATTTTTGCGCCGCCTGGTGAAGACGGTTCTGTGGCTAAGTTGATTTTTGATCTGCTTCTCGATTGCGTTGCCGAAAACACTGTCGAGCCACCATCTCACGCCCGAGAAGTATGCTGGGCTATTTCACGTCTTTTTTTGGCCTAACTCAAAATCAAAGCTGCGGATTTGTGGTCTACTATTGTTGCCCAAAGTAGAGAGCGTTTGCGTACCATATTAAGCCATCTCTGCGGTTTGATGCTTTGCAAAAAAAATAATATTGTTTCTGCAAATTTATTGGATGTAAAAAAGGGCACTAGTATTAATTGAATATTTCACTTTTCATGTACCTTTAAAGTTGGCCGATCAAAACCAATGATTACTTTCCCGACCGTCACGTTCACCAATTTAGTAAAACCAACTTGTGGTATTTCAAAGATTTTGCGTTATAATTTTTTGTTTAGAAAATTTGAGTTCTAGTAACGCTCTAGTTGTTTTGGTTTAGAACATTTTAAATTAATGCCAAATGTCGCTGGTACCATTCAGTTCCACCAAAAGATAGTCAACAAATTGTTGGATGGGGATTTGTAGATTGAAGTGTCAGGAGTGATTTGAAGTGCTCATTGGTTTGACTGCCACTGTCCTGTGGACACGTTTTAATGACATTCGAGATCTTTAAAGCGTCTACCGGATTTAACTTGTTCAACCATCGCTTGTTCCCCTTGCTTCGCGTGGATAGAAGTTCGAGGGTGCTTGTGCCCAATGTCTGGGTTGTCGTCCTGAAGACGTTGCCGAGTTAGAAGCCCAGTTGGAGGAGCTGGAAAACCAGCCGTCGGCTTCAAACCTTGTCCAGCAAGAGCGCGAGCTGCGGGCACTTGTGAGCTCGTCTGAGCGAGAGGTTGCTGAGCAGAATGACAAACTGCAGTATCTCTCTGCAGTTTTGCCAGAAGCCGAGGTTTGTTGATGCTGATGTAATGCACTTTTATTTCGAATTCTCACCCTCCTTCAACTCGCTATTTTCAACGCCGTTCGGATTTTCGTAGATGACGTCATTTGAATTTCCAGGACCTATGTGATCTGAGTTGGCAAACTCTTAGCGATGAATGAGCCTTGTACTTGTTCGATTCAGTAATAGCGTATTGGTTTCGTTGTTTGCAGAGTCTGTAGGTAAAGGTTGAGGTCTTAGACGGTTCTGAAAATTCCATTGGGTCTTACTAGGGAACAAATGCATTCTGTGTCTTGGCCGTTGGGGCAAATTGTAGCAAACAAGGTAACAAGCACCCCATTCATAATTTTACTGCATGACTTTAGGTAAGGAAGACGGAATTCGCCAGGTTGAAAGTTGTCTATGCAATTTTAATTTGAGAGTCAATTAAAGGATTTAATTCCTATTGTAGAAATTGTAATTGTGCTTTCGAGTTATTCCAGCTCTTTAATTATAGGCTAAAGCTGAAGCTGCCGCCTCCAAAGTCAAGAACATTCGCCAACAAGTTTCAGAAATTGCAACTGAAGTTCAAAATCTCGAAAATCTTGTGTCGTCACAGCAATCTAAGTGAGTTCTTATTTTGTCAGCTTTTGTTTTTCTTGTTGTACACATTTGATTTTCGTTGTTAATGTGTACTCATAGTTTTGGAGTCCAAGTGATACCCCGACGCTATCTGGTTATCGCATTTTCTGACGACGACATTTAACAACAAAATGTGGGAAATTAACTTCAAGCTAAACATTCGGCTATACTCATCTGTAAATGTCTAAGACCTGCTAATACTATAACCCCCATTTACTCATCTCGAAGATTGATCACGTAAAGATTTACCAATTACACAGGCTGCTAAACTTATTTGAACCAAAAAAAGAACGCGCATTTTGTGCATTATAAGTGGAATAAGACGATTGCGTGGCTAACACATCCTCTTTCTCGAATTGCCAAAATTACCAGTGTGTCTTGTTAGATTTACTGGCTGTGTCAAAGAGGCGCATAACTTGCTGTTTTCTGGTAGTTTGGCATCTTTAAACGGCCCTACTCATGTAAGTCAGTTTTGCTATGACAAAGTGTCCTTTTAAACCCCATCTGGGGTTTAATCTGGATAAACTAAGCTTGACTGACCGGTATACCTTAAAGCCCCGCGTTTTGGTTTGTTTTCCAGCGGGAGATTGTTGTTGATCACATTGTTGGTCAGTTTATTTGCAGTAACCCCTCAACCATGCGATGGTATCACTAAGGTTTTATTGCAAAGCCTATTCGGCCACCCTAGTTTGAGTTATTAAGTTCAAATGCCAAGCCATGTATTCTGATGTGTTAAATTTTCCGACTAATTGGCACGACTGACGTTTTTAAGGAAGACGAATCAGATTTTTTCTTCGGTAGTATTTGCAGGAGTAAAAGTGAAAATCTTGCTATGCAATGAAGCGACTTGCCGATTTCTGTACTCTTTAGGTTCGGTGACATTGTGAACTCTTATCAGCGTCTGGTCGAACACTACCAACAGCGTTTAAATGTGAAGCAAGAGTTGGTCAAACAGCTGAATGAACGCACCATCGAACTTGGGCGTCTAGACAAGCCAGTAGCGCCTGCTCTCGACGAATACAATTCTCTGGCCGTGCAGTTAGTAAGTACACTTCTTTAAAACTGAAATTACCTCAGAAATATCCATTATGTGGTATTTGTTTTCGCAGTAAACATAAGTCACGATTAGGGCTTGAAGTCCATATTTAGTTGAGAGAAGGCAGTCTATTAGCACGAAATCTGTACATGGCCTAAGCTTCATGCCTAAGATCTCCTTTTAAGGGAACTTTGTGGTTCTCGTATAGGATAGTTATTGGTTTGCTGTAGTCAACACATCTGTGGCATTTTTCTGCAGGCTGGCGTTGACTGTGTACTGATGTATCTCGGCACTTGTCCGTGTACAGAGGGACCAGAATATCAGTGTTTTTTAAGAATTTAAAAAAATCTCTATCTAGTCTCTCATGTTCTCTTGATAGACTGATCCCTCCCTGCCGCAACTAAAGATGCGTTCCTACCTGCACACTTTTGACCCAGTGAAAGAGATCCCCATCATTTGTGCTGAACTCGCTGAGGTCCACGCAAAACTGAAACAGTCGTGCGATTGCAACCAAGCTGAAGTGGCACGTAAACGCAGCGAGCTCGCCTCCTTGGAGTCCGAATTAAGCAAGAAGGTCAGTTTCTCCGGCGGAAAAGTAACACTCGGGTGGCTTTCACAGTGCGCACAACCTTTGCTGCAGATCAAGTTAAAATCCATGATAATCAGCGCTTTCTGTGTATTGCTGGGCTGCACGCGATTTTTTAGGGATGTTGAAGTTGACAAAGGTACCTTCACAGCTCAAGATCGGTATTTGTGGAGCCCCTTGTCAGGGCAAATGCCTATTTTAGCCCCCATCACCAGAATTGCTATTCACTATTGAACGCACAAATCGATGCCCGAGAGTAATGGCTTTTAACTTTGATTCTTAAACGGAAGGAGTGGGTTGGTTCGTTTTGTTGCTTCCTCACATGTGGATTTCTTTTGGTTCACAGAATGCAGATCTGGAGAGGCTTGAAGGGCAGTTGCTTGAGTCGAAGAACCACCATCAGGACCTGGAGCGCCAAGCCGCGTTGAAGAAGGAGGCCCTTGACCGGTGGACTCTTGAAACCGACACGGCCATCTCGGAGGCCTCCCAGTCAGCTGAGGCACGTCGGCGCTACCTCAAGAAGGTTGAAGCCGACGTTAAACAGTATCAGGTGAGTCGCATCCCCACCCTCGAATCCACGCCACACCCTGCTTCTCATGTAGGGCAGTTTGGTATGTGGTTGGTTCCTTGATCAACGCAAACGCCCGAGATTAAACCTTCAATTCACGGTTAAACAATAATGTAGAGCATTTCAAACCTGGCAGACGTGGTCGCGCTGACTCCAACCAGGCCAAGTCCAATTCTGTTCAGAATTGATTTTTTAAACAAATGAAGATTGGTGCCAATAAAACAGCCGCACACATTGATTGCTTTTCTCCCATACGCATAGCACAAAACGCATTTTTTGATGTTCTCTCACGCATATCCAGCCTTCTATGATACGTGTGTTTAGTTGGAACTTTCGGGTTGGGGCAAATTTAATGGCTGCCTACAAGATTTCATCTAAAACACTCATGATTAAGAAAATATTTTTTGCGAACATGTCCTCCGTTGGCATTGATATACGTTCATTAACTTGGCAGTCAATATATAATTATAATACGCACTATGTGAAAAACCTCTATTAGATTACGAACATTGCTTTTTCACCAGACTGATGTCAACCAGCTGTTCTTTACACTGGTACCCCTGTTCCTGCTGAGTTATCACGTTGTCAAATAATTTCAAACGTAACCCTGCTACTATAAATTAACAAGTAGCACGTCTCCCACTTCCTGTTTTTGGATGAAACAACCACCTCGCCACTGCATTCGCAGGCTGTGCTCCTTGTTGGTGTGCCAAATCCACAGTTTATTTCCCCTTAAGGTGATATTCGGCATCCCACTTACTAGCACCCTTCAGAACGGAATTCTTGCTCCATTGAATGTTACTGAACTGTGGGATTTGTTCACTAGCGAGTTCATTTTTTGCTCTCGTATTAACAGAAGGACTATGAGTATTACCTAGACCTGAATCAGAAGATGGGTTCCTTCACTGCGAAGTATCGGAAAGAAGTAATCGAGTTTGTGCGCTCGGTCAAAGTAAGTCTACTCCTTTGCTTCTCTTTGTTTTGCACTCGTTCGATGTAGAAAATGACTGTGGTCATGAGGTATTCCAAATAGATCTCTTACCCCTTGGAAACAAGAAGGTTCGCGAAATTTGCTCTCAGTTGTAGTGTAGTTCACCCTTCCGGGGAACTGATCAGTGCACGGTGCATTTTTCGCAAATTGCGGTTCCGCGTGATCCGCACCACCGCCTGTTTTGCCGCACAGTGTACTCACCCCTTTTTAGGAGCGAATCCAAACGATGGCTGATCGGCGACGAGCGGAGGAGAATAAGCTCGAGGAGACAATGGCCCACCTCGAGTCACAGGTGTCCCAGCTTTCCACCCAAACAGAAGCCCTCATCAGTGATGCAGCATTGCTGACTCAAACGGCAATCTCATCTTTGAAAACCGATATTTAAATATTTTTACTTTCTACGAGTGCATTGAATAAATTTTTACGCAAACTGCTACCAATGAGGGTCTCTGCAAATTTACCAAATTGAATTATGCTTTGGGTAGTTTTTGAGTGCCGTAACACTTTCTAATTAGTTGGTTCTTCTGGCGGCCTGCTGTAATCGAGGCGACTATTCTCTCTGTCTTTCCTCACCTTACATCAAACCACTCCCATTTGAAAATGAATTCTTAATAAATTCAAAAAAGAATGCGTGCGCATCACATAGTGCAAATGTCTGGCGTGTTTGGAGCAATGCAAAAGCCCTATGTAAAGCCTCTTTACATTCTGCACTCAAGTACAGGTTAAAATTGTTCACCTGCTACACAGAATTGAAACGCGATGGTGTAGGGATTTTGTGTGACAAAAAATTTAGGTGGATCTGGTACAACTGACTGGCCCTAGCTAACAAACGCCAATTCTGCCCGTTTTTGGTCTCTTGGCGCTGTCGGTGCGACTTGAGGTCTTCTTACGTGGCGCTTGGACATGTTGTGGCACGAAGTACGCAAGACAGAAATGAGACGAAGGGGAGGTGGGAGACTCGAGGTCGCAGCTAAGTTGTGAGTGTGGCTTCACTTTGCATAAAGTCGTGTCTGACTAGTGGAGCTGTCGATTAGACCTGTCTGGATGGAATTGGGCAGATATCAACGACTGCATTAGTAGCCCGGGCGGGGGGAAGTTAATTCACATGAGAGCTTAAGCAGACGGCGCCACATGATCGGTAAAACAGCTATGAAAAGAGGAGGGCGAGAAGTATGAGGGTCCAGCGACCAGGTTAATGGACGTGAGACAAAACGTTTCGAGGCAGATGCTCGTTGTTAAAAAACAAGAAGACGAGTTGGTTTTATTAAACCTGGCACGATTTCTGCGGACTTCTAAAGGTATGAGAGGCTCAATTATTGATGACGTGAACGCTGGGTGCCTGCGGCAACACGAGTACCTGCGCCGTCTCACCAATGCCACGAGTGCCGTTGATTCAGTGCGCCCTGGTGACATGGCTGTCTCAGCTTGTCAAAACGTCGATCTTATCTTCACAGGCACCAACTGGTGTCACCGAGTGTCGGCCATTCGGTCATACAACAACGCAGCAAACACCATGAAAGCACTTTAGGCAATGCACCAAAAAGGGCACTGGCAAGGCTTCTATTACGACCTTGGTCACGAACTAACAAAAGCTCCTCACGTGGTGTAACGAAAACCAAGTTGACTTGTGGGGCAACAGCCCAACTCACATCTCACCAATCTGCTCATAACGCTTCTACGTGGAGGCACTTCTCCAGACTCGAAATCCTTCCACACTTCTATGCACAATGGTAAACTCCAACAAAAACATCCTTACTCATCCGACGTT